CAATGTTCACTCTCTAAGAAAGGTGGCTACCAATATGGGGGAAGCGCTTGACTATATCCAGGGTCTTTCCCTCAATGGTAATTTGGAGAGGGAGGCCACAGTCATGGCCTGGAGCAAGCTGATAGAGCTAATGTTAGTCTTCATAGAGCTAATGTTAGTCTTCTTAATATTGAGAGAGTGGCCCAAACATCATTAAGCTTCTCCATAAGGATACAATGCAGTCTGGAGGTTTTCTTCAGTGTGTGCAAGGATGGTGCAGTCGCTGACATGTTGAAGATCAAGGGTGGTTGTTTTGAGTACTTTCGTCTTTAAGCAAAGTGACCCAAATTGAAGAGCCCTCCATCTGTTCAGTATTCAGTGTCAGTTCTGGAAGGAAAGTGGTCCTTAATGAGAACCAGGATGACTGTCAAAAAAAGAAAAAAGGAAAACAGAGTGGGCGCAATGATGCATCCTTGCTTTAGCCCAATTTGGATGAGTAATGGCTCCATCTCCAATCCACTAAATATAATGGTCGCAGTCATCTGGTCATGGTGGAGCCTCAGGACTTTGATGTACTTTTCAGGACATCCAGAGCTGGCCAGTATTTTCCACATGGTTTCACAATTGATGAAATCAAAGTCCTTGGTAAGTTCAGCGAAGGCCATGTGCAGGTCCTGATGTTGTTCCCAACAATTTTCTTGGACTTGGTGAGCAACAAAGACCATATCAATTGCCCCGCCCCATGGGATGTTCTGAAACCACACTGATTTAACCTCTGCATTAATTATATTTGTATTCTTATATCATACATAGCAGTTATTTATCATCAGGGATCCTAGTTTTCTCTGGGGAAAAAGTGGACAATTTCTTTTTTAAAAAACCACCAAATCCATGTTTTTCCACGATGTACCAAAAGTGCAGCGGCATCCCACAGCGAGTAACACTACTTGTTCTCTCTCTTATTTTTGCCACAGTTTTTGCCTCTTGGCCAATCAGTGGGCAGGGAGGGAGGTACGCTGCTGATTGCCTGAGACACAAAAATAAGAGCAGAAATGGTGCTGCTCACCATGGGACGCTGCCACACTTTCAGGAGATTGTGGAAAAATGTGGTTTCTGCAGTTTTCCGCAGTGAATGGAAAACTAGGATCCCTATTTATCATTTTACCTAGCAGCACTGACTATAATATCCACCTCTCCAGCTGGATATAGTTAACATTTTATAGACTAGACAAATGCAGTATTGCTTAAGGCAGCTTGTAACCAACCAGTGCTATAGTCAATAGAATGTAATGGATGAAAGTGTCATTTTTGACATACCATCATGGTTTTATACACATCATTAGCTTTTTAATATGGGTGAAAGCTGCACACTTGCCCAGTGGGTTTATTTTGCTGGCATATAGGGTTGCATTATGTTGCGCTCACTTTAATAATTTCAGTTCTGACAGCTCAATATTTTTAAAGGGTTTTAAAGCCAGCTTTAATTAATGGAAGCATAAAGGCAGCAATACAGTTCCCAGGAGTATAAGTCCTGACTGCATTGTGCACTTCGCAGCAGTGTATGGCAGGGTCTGCTCCAGCACTCTGTGCTGCTTGTTAACCGTCTGCCTAAGTAAGGCTTGGGAGTTTCAGTTGGTATTAAAGCTGTGGATGAAATAGGGAAATCTTGAAGCTAATGTTACATCTCCTGCTTCTTCTAAAAGCAGTCCCAAAGGCATGGACCACAGCTGTAGAACAAAAATAAAAGGCATGAGAGAATTTATTTTTAATTTTAATGGAAAGCAAGTTTCAAAATAAGAAAGGTTGGGTGGCAGGGAATGAAGACACGCTTTGTCTAACGTAGAAGGGCATACAAGTCTGAAATGAGTCTTAGAGAATGGTCTATGAAGGACTTCTTCATTTTGATTACTTGAGGTCCTCTATTTTAACATATTTTCACATTTCTAGCTCTTATAAAAACAGCAGATCCTCGTGAATGGAGCATTTATAACCAGGTTGTATAAATGGTCAGTAGAGCTGCATTCACAATAAGCATTTGGTCTGAAAAATTTCATTCACTCCATCATGAAAACCAAATGTTCCTTTCTTGGGTTTTCAACATTGCAGTGCTCATGCAGTCCTCCTCAGGAGAGAATAAAGCCAGTATTTGAGAATCTCTAACTTTCTCGGTGCTCTCTGAAAGTGTCAGAGTGACCAGCTGTATGAGCATGTGAGCATACAACGTACAGAGATAGAGTATGAACATACCGTGTTCAGATGTGATGGCGATGAACTCTGTAGAAGAGTCTATGATTACTTGCTTATTTAAAATAATCAAACTCGGGGAATGCAGAAGCCGAGATTCCAGAAGCAACATTAGCTTGTTTGCCTTGCATGTCCTGCACATCGCTGGCCCCAGCTTTCTCTGGCCTGTGGGCAACAGTACTGAGCGCAGAACATGCTGCAGGAAACGTCATACATTACTCTCCCTGTCAATCCGAAGAAACACAGATCTGTGAAAAGTAACCCCAAGCAGTGTCAGAGTGTCTTGTAGGCAACAAGTTGCTTGACAGCCATAGACTTGAAACCACTACTTTATTCAAATAATGATTTAATGAAGCAACACATGGACCAAAGGAAATAAGAACAGAAAAGAAGGCATATGTGCAAAGTGACCTAGTTTCTACTGGAAGGTTTTCTTTTGAATTTCTAGACATTTTGTCTTTTTAAATGTGCATCCTTAATATCGCATCAGCACGTTTTCTTTTTTTGGTAAAAAAACAAAACAAAACAAAAAAATCTGTTCTTATTAAGCCCTACATGGAATTTCATACAGTGAACTGAGAAGGACTCCTATGTTTGCTTTTTATTTTATTTGCCTGAAATATTCTTGATTTGCATTTGGACGGCCTTTATCTTTTCAGGGAAAAGGGATTCTTGCCTCTCTCACTGTCTCTGAAATATAGAATGGTCCTTCCTCCCTCTGTCCCTTCCCTCTGCCCCCCTCTTACCCTCCCAAATCTTGTGAACAGCAGCAAACTTTATATTCATCCAGTTGGATGATAAGAAAGTGGGGAGAGAGCAATGCTCTCTAGATTAAAGCAGTGGTTCCCAGCCTTTTTAGACTTGAGGCACACCTTGTTAGACTCGAGGCTGCCCTCAGAAAATGTCATCTTTTAGTTTTCTCTTATTTTTTACTATGGAAAAATAAGAGTTTTTTTTTTTTTTTTTTTTTTTTTTTTTTTTTTTTTTTTGCAAAGAACTCAACAGGTCAGAATATTTTTAACAAACCCAGAATTTTCAACTAAGAATCTGTATCATCTTGTGAGTTATGTTTGCACACCCAACAGTGCTAACATTGTGTGGTGTCCTATGGTACCCTTGAAAGGATCTCAAGGCACCCCAGCATGCTGCAACCCCATGTTTAGAATCACTGGATTAGTCTACTAAAATCTTAGCTGTTGCCCTAAGCTTAAAAATGTGATTTCCACCCACTAATGCGTCTACACATTCAATTAATGAGACGCAATAAACTCTGGAGTTCTCAGAGCCGAAGTCAACTGCTCCCTGGTGCAGTGTCTACACATGCGCCTGGGACAGCAGCACTTTGAGCCAGGCCTGAGCTGGCAGCGGAGGCACTGGCTGGGGCAGAAGGGTGCAACACTTGCAGAGCCATGTGGCTAGGTGGCAGGCAGGAGTCTGGCCCCTACCTGGTCAGCTCAGTAAATTACTTCACCATAAGATATTACTGCCCCCAACAGTGCTATCTTACAATGGAGTTAATTAATTTACTGCACCCTAATACTGGTGCACATGTAGACTGTGATACTTTCCTATGGAACTAATTGGTCAGCTCCTCAGTAAAGCACATGTGTAGATGCACCCACTTATAACTATATTCACTCCAAAAACTAATCTTCATTGAGGATAGGTTTAATATCTAGTTTCACTTTTTTTGGCCATAGCTGGGTGTTTAAATGACTTTTATTATTATTTTTACAAAAATAAACCTTTTTTTTCCATTACTGGGAAATGCCTAGAAGCATAGAAAGTTCAGCACAAATAATGAATGTTTTAGAGAGCTGTGTGAACATAGCTTATAATTGAAAAAGCTTTTAAAAATGGATTCAGCACCTCTTACAAGCATTTGTATCACCCAGTTTCTTTTATCACATCTTCCTCCCCTTGTTATGGAATCAGAGACTGTCTCTTAGGGCTTGCACAAAGTTGCACTGGTTTCAGACTGGTTTCACTAAAACAATATAATTTTGTGCAGAAACATACTGGTTGAAATCTGGTCTATCCCATTAAAACCAATATAGGCTAGGTTTAAACATAGATAATTGTGTAGGCACGTGCACAAAGTCGCACTGGTTTAACAACAAAACTTAACAAACCAGCATAATATTATGTGTGAACTAGGCCTCGCAATGTGATTTTACAGTAGCTGGCACAGTAGGGCCCTTTGAGCTCAACTTCAGCGTCTATCCATGGTTTAAAACATGAAATCAGTTTGCGTTCAGCATGTGGTATTTATGTGCATGGATAGGTTGTGTGCACGTATGTAAAATAATGATTACCTAATAGTGTTCGCTATAGCCAGTCTTCTCTTTGTATTTCATATTATAGCTTTTATTTATGAGTAGCCCAGTAATGGCACTTAGACCATTGTACGATAATTGAAAGTACATTCTACCCAGTAGGAGTTACATATCCTTTTGCTTGCAAGGTCACTTATTTCTCATAGATAGCAAATCCTTAAGCTAATTCATTTATCCAAACCTGACCTCCCCATTCTGCTATGGATACATTTCACAACTGAATGGAAAATATGCTATTGTTAAAATGCTTTGTGGTGCCATCTAGTGGAAATGAGGCAGTGAGTGACCTACCATGAGTAACAAAATAGGTTTACCATTCACTGACTGCCCAGGCCATTCTGTCTGTAAGTGAATATGTGGCTCTTAGAAATAAAACAGATTTGCTCTCCATACTTTTGCAGTACTTACTTTTCGTCTATCATTCTTTTCCCCTTTATACAGGCTCTTGATGGGAATATATATGATCACCTTAAGGATTATTTAATGGCGGTCAGCAGGACTGAGCTAGAGACATGCCAAGCTGTACAGAATACATTCCAATTTTTATTGGAGACTTCTTCCAGCAGGGTAAGTTTTAACTAAATTATTTTTTATAATGGAAGAGACAAAATCATACATTCAGTTGCGAGTCTCTTGGGTACCATATTCTTTCAAACATAAGACATCCTTTAATTTAAGATTCACCCCAGTTTTCTGACTCTCAGCTTAAGAAAAAAAACCCTTCAAATAAAGACGTATTTACAAGACTATAACCTCTGCGTGGTGGATATAAGCTCTTTTTACTTTTTTATTAAACATGCCATTTTTAGAAGAAATATTTGTTTTAAAAGGTGGATTCTATATTTGAAGGAAATAATTACCAACAGGTAAAAGGCATGCTGAAGGTGCATTGTGTTGGTTTATACCTGTATTGCATTCACTTTAACAAATTGGGACTTTTCCCTGTTGCTGCAAAAATACTGCATTCTCCTGAGTGCATTTGGATTCTACAAGATCTCTCAATACTGCAGCAGCAATTGGGACGTGTTCATGCTCCATGTTTTGAAAGAAGCTGAACTTCAGTGTACGTGAAGGCCTTATACAATGTTATCTGTAGCAGCATTAGCCATTATCAGCTGTTCAGATATTTTTTTTCAATAACTCATTGTTTTGGTTAAAAATTATATCCTGTTCGTGTTTGGAGATTAAGAACAGGAAATGTAGAAAACACGTTAGAGTTTTGTAATTACATCCTTTGCCCCCAAGGATGATCTGCAAGGTCCCTTCCAGCCCCTAACAATCTATGAATCTAAGTAACCAAAATCAGAAATAAGACTGGTTATTTCCAAAGTCTATCTTCTGGCAGCTTGGTAGTTCATCTCCAGCAAACCCTGAATTTGTTAGATTCCATTACACCCCAAACCAGGTTAGTCCTTGTGCGGGCCGGCTCCCGATCTCGGGGGCGAGCCGGGCCCGTCTTTGTGCACACAGGCTGTGGCCAGCAGCCCGGACACACGGGGCCAGAGAAAACCGCGGCGCGGTATAGTACGCTCGAGCTAGAATCAGTCACGGAGGCGTAATGGTTGATTGAAAGGATTATTTACTTACACCCAAGGTGGTCGCGGTGTAGGCTGGTCAGCTTTCCAGGCACAGCTCCGCTTGAGTTCTTGGTGGAGGACTCCGATAGACTCGGTTCCTTGACCCCGGAGTGGTTTAAGCTCCGCGAGTTTAACAACTCTCTCTCACGGAGCAGCTGAATCTCCGTGGGTTTCACTCGGTTCCCAGGTCCCCCGGAGCTGTTAAGACTCCGTGGGTTCGACAGTTGGGTCCATAGGATAGGGATACATCTAGGATTGCGGTCGGCGACGGGGAGAGGCTAGAGGTTATGTGCCTCGGAGTTGTTAAGGCTCCGAGGGTTCAGAAATTAGGTCCCCCGGAGTTGTTGAAGCTCCGCGGGTTCGACAAAGTAAGCCTCTGTTGCACTCTTAAGGAAAAAGCTGGGTTCGAAGGGATCAGCAGCACTTAGAGATCCTCACGCTCCTTTCCCGAACTCCACGTGCTTTCTCTCTCTCCGACTTGGGCGGAAACTACCCAAGCCTTTTGTACGGCTAGCAAGCCAATAGCTAGCCGCCACGTGTGCCTATATTAAGACTGGCCAATAATGTGGCGGAAATCTTAATACAAATGGCGGGAACTTCCTTGTACCGTGCATAACTATAAAGCAAAAGAAATTCACGATGCAAAGAAGGCTACAAAACTGGCGGGAAAAACTCCTGCACGTGGGTTCTCTATTACAGCAGAACACTCCACCGTGCAAAAGAGCTGCAATGTAGCGGGAACACAATTTAGCGATGCCGAAGCACACACAAACAAGAAAACCACAACTTTGGGTTGTGACAGTCCTGACGTATTTCGGTTTGCTTGTAATATTCCTTGTATAAACCGTGACCACCGCCACAGAAACGGCGCATGCTTGTAATTCTGAATGTCAAGACCTGCAGAGAAACAAAGCTAAAGATTTCTTGAGACTCATCCTCCATTCGTCTTAGTAGCTTAGGAGCCAGGACCCTACATTTTAATTAGGTACGGTATAACAGTCACATTAACTGCCTGCAGTATAGCCAGTCTTGATGAATTTATTGGCAGTGTCAGAGGAGGAAGTAAAAAATATCCTTTTTTCTCTTTCGTGAGAGAAGCTCACACCATTAATTTGTATTAGCATACATCCTGCAACACCTCTGAAAGAAATGACATTTTCCCTGATGTAGTTACTCTCCAGTGGTTAGCAGTATATAGTACCCCTTTATCAAGCTTCTGCACGCTGATACCTCATTTTGCTCTGTTTATTAAATGCTTTGTATTCAGAATACTAGGTGCATTTCCAAGCTTTTTTGGGAGAATCAGCTATTTAAACAGCCATTTCCAGAGGTCATTTGCATAGAAAATACCTTTGTCATTTATTTTATTGAGTTTAGCTAGAGAGAGAGAGAACATGCACCAGCAAGCTTATATTCAGCCAGTTGCCTGCCGGTATAATTTATTTTATGTAGTAATAATGTTTTGCTGTATGTTTGGGGGAAAATCATTCTGTTTTCAGCTTCTCCAAAATACCACAACACCTGAAGAAGCAGCAAAAAAAAAATAACCATAGCTGTCATGTCTGAACAGAGCTTTAACAGCTGTCACCTACTTCATTTATTCTGGTGTTAACTCATTCTTTTTGTCTTCCTTTTTTTCCATCGCTAAAAGTCTATGACATTTCTGCTTGTTGGCTGGGTGCACCAGTATGAAACCATACAGCCACGTGATAAATATGCTTGTTAACATTTATATAAACAGCTTATCCAAGACCAAAGGCATGGATTAAAGTTGTGCATATTTAAAAACTCAGTAAGCTACAATGACCAGAGAGAACTAGCTAAGCCACTAAAATACTTCTTTCCATTTCTCTGCCCTCAGCCCTGCAGCATGTCCTAACAGTCAGGGTAGCAGGAATCAGTCCGACCAAAGTTGCGAGAGGTAAATTTAAGAAGTTAAGAGCACTTTACTAAAAGCTCATTTAAGTTGGGAGCACTTTCCTAAGAGCTACGGGTGTATTTTTAAAATGACCAATGGTGGAACATATGAATGTGTGCCCATTTGAGCAGTTGTGTTCTTCAAAATAAAATCTGCGTGTCACAAGTCCTTCAGATAGCCAAGATCCAAACCATGTATTGTGTACTGTGACCACTTCTTCTTTGCCTACCAGTTTTGAATTACCACACTTTAAACATGCAAGATTGCCTATGGGAAAACAACTTAACATCCTTTGTAGGTTTTTTTCATAGATGTTAGGGGCTGGAAGGGACCTTACAAGATCATCAGGTCCAGCCCCAAAGTAATGTTTTAGCTATTATTCATCTGAACACTCTAAGGATTTGGGCTTATGGTTTAAAAAAAATAAATTAAAAGGCCAGCCTACCATTATGATGGGTTGTTTTTTTTTAGAAAACATCCCCAAAATAGTTTTTCTATAAAATGGAACTTGATATGAATGTGCCATAACATGTGGTGGTACAGAGGTTTTATTGGTGCTAACTTGGGTAATAATGTTCATAACTCCCTTCCAAGAAATACAATTATTTCCAACTCTGGAAGATGTAACTAAACTTGCAATTTACCTGTCTGTTTTTACTCGAGGGCTTTCCCCTCATGTTTCAATTCAGCTTGCAGGTTAATTTTGCTTGGGACGTCTCAGTAACCCAAAAACAGCTAATGGGATTTTACTGAATTTCATCGATGGGTTTTTGTTGAGAAGATATACCAATCCAGCTTGCAGCATGCATCTGATATATAAGTTAGCATATGCTGACTATTTTGGATGTAGATGTACCCGAGAAGAGAATATGTTTAATCATCATTTATTGCACATAAAAAGTTTCTATTAGTGAGGCATCCAGTTAATTTCTGAATGGACAAATACGGGTTTATCTGGGCAGGTTGATGAGGAATTCTGAGATTTTTTGAGTTGCATAAATTGGTCTCTTCCAAAAATAAAGAAATGCTAGACCTACTGTGCATCGTGTTCCAGAAGTGTTAATTTGCTAGCCATGTATACATTATTACTACTGTCCTGTATATAGTCTCTGTCAGTCATTCATAGCAAAATAATCCTTTTTGAGAGGAAATTTTCCTAGCATTGCCTTTTCAAGGTGACTTTTCTTTGAAAAACTGAGCCACATTTGTGTTGTGCAGCTGTAGGAAGCAAGTTGCTTTCTGTGCTAAATTAACTGGAAAATGTTCTGTGTGTTAAAACGTCCAGTGCATCCTATAACTGTCCCCAGTGAGGCTTGCTGACTGTTACATTTCAGAAATGGTTTGAAATAGTTGTGAATGTTTGAAAATGGCCCTTTGAGCAGGCATCCCATTTCCAAGCATCTCTCAAGAGCAGTGCATTGGCAGACCCTGTGTCCCTCACTTTTCCTCAGTCCTTCATATTCACTTGTAGGTAACTTTTTCAAACATACAATGATTAGATGATATATATTCATCACAAAACGAGGCATGGGCAGTCCACCTAATGACTAGTGCTAGGCTGGAGTCGGAGGTCAGGGCATAGCCAGGTCTGAACCAGGGGGCTGGAGTCTGAGGTGGATCCAAGTTGACAGATGGGGCAGAAGGCAGGGAGCAAGCCAGGTCAGATACTTGGAGGTCTGAGTCCAGAAGGAGGCAAATCAAAGCATAAAGCAGAGACAATTGTCAGTTTGCAGCAGGACATCAGGTCTGGGATCAGGAGTGCTGCAACATGGAGACAGCAGTGCGGTCTGCAGGCAGTAAGAGCCTTGATGTTCAGATAACCTCCTGTCTGGCCTTACGTGGTCTGGAGGGACCAATCTGCAGCCAGGAGCCCTGGCCACACATGGGAGGTCTTCCCATGGTGGAGCTCCTTCCCTACTGCTCCATCTTTGGCTACAAGCTATGACCTGAGATGGTGCTCGCCTCCCAAGTCTCCAAGTTGAGGTTTCAGGACCAAATCTTGACAGTTTGGTCCAGAGGCATTCATATACAGACGGCTTTCAGTCAAAAATACTGTACTATGGGAAGGTCTGATCTGGCCCTTCCAGATGCTAGCTGAAAGGTGAGGGTACACAGTAATGTTCTGCTTCTTGGTTGCTTGCAACTGTTAAGAAGTTTGCCAGTATATGCTTTTCCTCCCTGTTGGCTTGACCATTTGCCATCTTATTCCAAGCCTGCGTGATAAAGAGTCTAGTATGCAGTGCACCCTGAGTTCAGTATACTCATTGCTATATTTTATTGAAATCTGACACATTGATAAATAGCCTTTATTTAAAGGGGTAATCATTATAGCAGAAGCTTTCAGCATATGCAACTGAGTGACATGCCCAAACCCTCCCAAAGCTGCAAATCATCATTGTTGTCTCCCAGCTGTAAACCCTCCAAAGAGAATTCCCGGTTCCTTTCGGCACTAGGTCTTCTACACGTATTTTAATGTGTTTATGGTAAGGCGCATGCATTTAATTATGTAGCCTAATCTCGGTTCAGTCACGTACGGTTTGTTTTCACCCATAATCAGCGCATACGTAGATGTACATGTTTATGTATACTCGAGCAGGGGTGTCAAACTCATCCCTTGTCGCAGGCTAGATCTGGACGCAGCAGCATGGGGGACAGTGCAGCTGTCACTCGCCCTCCATCACTGATGGATTTACCCAATGGGGCACCTGACCCAACAGGTCCTGCCCCTGAATCCTTGGCCTCTAGGGGCACCCTGGGAGCCAAGCAACACTGGTCTGCAGGCCATATGCTTGACACCTCTGGACTAGAAGACTTGTCTAGTAAAAGATGAGAATTTTGGAAGATCTCTACAGTCAGCAGTCTCTCCATTAGGAACAATTTGGCAACTGGGGAAAGGAGGGACACGAGGAAAGTTTAAAGTAGGGAACACGGTTGACTTCATCCAGCAAGTACCTTCATGTTTTCTCCCGTGGATCTGTATGTAACCATCTGCAGAACTACCACATCCTTGAAACTGTCCTTGTTCTCTCCATGAGACGGTCTTTCTGAATCCTGCTGTTGTCTCTGGTCATATGATTAGATGGCAAATGCTTTTGAGTGGAGACAAGACGCTGCCAGCAGAAGGGAACCTTGCTTCGTGCCAAGAGCTTCTGGGCAGTACAGTAACACAAGCAGAATTATAACGTTTCTCTTTCACTTAACGTTAATCCTTTTCCTTTTGTATAACTCTGGAACTGAGAATTACAATCGTCACCAAATTGCCCAGACAGTCATGTTCCCTAAGGCTAGATCGTACTGCGTATTGCACTGCAGTCTTTGTTAGGATGGGAAGGCCTAGTGAAGAAGAATAAAGACTTTTATTGTCATCCCTCCCTAGCATGCTAATACATTTCTAGAAGAAATCTTCCTTTGGTTTTGGACTAAAGTAAATATTGCAAATAGGTTTAGCAGTGTCTCTTTGGCTGGTTTAGTATAATCTGAACCTGTGTGTGTGTATATATATAGAGAGAGAGACTTTTACAACATCAGATAATTCAAAACATCCTAGATGGAAAATTTCCAGATGAGCTGTTTTCTTTGAGGACTTCTTTCAGATTAACTTGAGGAGGTAATGGAGATATTTGTGTTACGAGAGATGTAAAAAATCACTTTTTCCTCACTTTCAGTATGAAATTTTTGCTAAATTTTGAAGTTAAATATTTTTATTGGACTTGGTTGTAAATAATGTTGATATGGTGGTAGTAATTTTCCAACTTCAAATCTTAGGGCGTACCCTTCATTCAGCTCTGTGGTTTGAGGCTTTATGCGACTCTGTCAATACAGAGATTCCCATGCATGTATGTTTTTAACAGTATGAAGTTGAAAGCAGAGCGATGTAAATAATGAAATGGAAAACTGTAGATCAGGAAATGCCAGGGTCTAATTAAATCTACCATCTACATTTTATATAGAGCATATTTCAAATTAATCCCAACATACATGCAGTCAGTGGTATGCAGTATGAATTTCATCTCTTGAATCCCTGGACTTCTCTATATTTGAATAGTAATGTGTTTTTATCGTTGTCTATAGTTTTGAAAGATTTTCAGTAATTAAAGTCCTAAAATCTCTATAGAGTTGTTCAGTCAGTTGTATTACTTTTAAAATATTCACATTGCTAAGTATTTCTTTGTAAATGCACACTAGGTTCTTGGTTTAACGATACATGTTGGAAATGGCGGGTTGCTGCGGCCTGAGTTTGACTAGTTAAAGCAGTTTTTGACCTGCGCAGCCTTTACCCGGGTGTAGAAGTTATGCATACCTGAAAATGTTTCCACCTTGACTCTATATTCACATATGTAAAACTAAATTTGAGCTTCCTTTTTTTTTTTTTTCCAAATATTTTATCACAGCCAATTAAACTTTGACCATTCATGGAGAATTAGGGCATTTCGGTTTGTAAAGCAAGAATTGTATGTGAAGAACTGTCCATAAGTAGATAAGGTATATTTTTTTGATACTGACCGAAATCAGGATTAGGTACTTAACCTCAATCCTGAGCTTGGCCGTGTCATGCAGCACAGTTGTGAGCAGTGCCGTGGAAAGATCGTTATTCAGATGCTGACTTCACAGTTTTTTCCCAGATAGTTTCCACTGAAATCAGCCGAGCTGGGCCTGTGCACAAGGAAGCTGTGGCATTCAAGCATAATATTCATTGAATGTTGTTGTGATAAAGTTATGTCCCAACTCTACAAAATAATGGGTGTCTGAACTGAATTGTGTTCACTTTTCAGGTGGTGCGGGATTACAATCTACAGCTATTTTTACAGGAGAACTCTGTATTTCGCAAACCGCAACCCTTCCAGTTCCAGCCTAGTGACAGCGATACCGTAAGGGCTTTTCTGAATTCCATCATTTTATTGCATTTTTTTTGTAAATAAATACGACGGTAGCCTTGTTTGCTAGTCTTCCAGTCTTTGCCAATACAGCTGGTGTTCCTGGAATGGGTAGAGGGTAATGACCTGATTTTAGCAACTGTGTTTACTGTAGGTGTGTAATTACAATTAAAGCGTTGAACAGATGGGGTGGCAATATCATCATCACCTGCAAGAGAACTGCACATTTTTGCCTCCATGTTCTGTGACTACCAGCCCCTATATCTTTGCATTTCTATTCTGAGCCTAAGCTTTTACTAAAATGGGTTAAACTGTGTTGTGTTCTGGGAAGGTTCTCAAAACCTCCGTAACTGTCGACTTAGACAAATAACTTAATAAAGTGCCAAATAAAATGTGCTGTGCCCTCCAGTTCACTCGAGAAAGTTATACAGGTTTTGGTCAAAGAAGGATACACTTAATAACCCCGTACTCTAGCCTAGTTTCTAAATATGTGCAGCCAGTGTTATTCTAGAAAAATCAGTGGCAAACTTTTAAATGAGTAAATCATAGCATAATGGTTACATTCCGGAAGGTTTTTGTTTTTTTTTTAAATAGTCATTTTGGGGTTTTTTTTTCCTTTTTCCTCAAGTTAGGTAAAAGTAACAATTTAAAGTAAGTGCAGGTTTGAAGAGCAGACCTTTTACAGCTTTTTATTTCCCTGGCTCTCACTAAGTACACTCTGCTGCTGGGGGAAGACAGATTTGGCCCACATAGTGAATGCTTAACCCCAGACATTGTGTTAATGGCTGTGTAATGGACTCCGTGAATAACTTTGCCAGGAATAAGCACTAACAGCAGTAGCAAAACTGTCCTTGAATTTCGGTGTTATCTTTTGGCTTTCCTCCTTAGCAAAAGATAAGTGATTTTTCAGTTTTCCCTAACTTCCCGGTAGAGCAAGCTATTTACATAAAGTGCTAGGCTGTTCATAATGCAGTGTGCTGAATCTCTAACTGTATTTACATTGCAATTCTAACTGTATGCTGTGTGTTTTTGTCCTTGTGCTATCTTTGTCATTCAGAGTTTTAATGCAGTTCAGCTGGTGGATATTGAGCCCTCACCTGTCAGTGCTATGCGAATGACTATAGCAGAGGTATATGGTAGTATTTGTCATCGGTATTTGGCATTTGTGGTATTGCTTGTATGCATGCAGCAGGGGTGCTAAATTCACTCGCAAGCATAAGTGGCAACTGAATGCATAATGTATAGCAAAGCTCACTCCATTTCGAGACCTATGTAGCTCGTTAAATTACCATTTTCTTGTTTTAAGTTATGTTAATTGCGAGGCTCAGTTTCTCACTTATCGTCTTGCCTTCTGAAGTATCTTGTGCTCTCGCACATCATTTGTAATTAACATTGTAATCTGTCAGGGAATGAATTAAAATTTCACAACTTGGGGTACAGTGAACTATATAATTGTCACCTTCTGACACATTTGAGGGAGGCATATGCCAGAATTTCATCTTCTTATATAATTGGAAGCCTTTGAATACATGTGAGACAAGGTGCCTTCGACAATATTGTTTTTAATTAGAATACATATCAGGCCAATGTTTCCATGTGTGATAAGGGACAGGCAGACTTTGGCATGTGATAAGTAAAGTCGATTGCTTTGGAAAATACCTAGGACTCTTCTCCTTTTTTTCAACAGACCTTTACCAGGAAACTTTTACAGTATAAACAGCAGCCACTGATATGTGTCGATGACCCATGGTCCCTTTATCTTACCAAATTAATTCTTCCTATTTTCCAGACAAGGCTCTTCGGGTAAATGCGATATCTTTTAGTGGACTAACTAAGAAGTTGGCAAAATTGTTCTTTGCAAGCTTTGGGGCACAAACACCCTCCTTAATAAACATTCAAACATTCCTCAGAATTGAAACTAGGATTGTTCTTTGAGATGGCTATGGTATATTCTGATTTTATTTTATTTTTTGGAATATACATCCCTGAGATTAGCCAAGCTTCAAGATCCTTCTAGAAGGCAACACCAGAGCATCCCATTATCCGGAGGCATGGCCCCATCTTTTGAAGGCAGTAATTTTTCACGTGCCTGCACATGCCCAAATTGAGCACTTTGCTTCCTTCCTTGCACAGTGTTTTCATGAAATTTAAAATGTCACCGGCTTTCAAAGAAAATCATACAAAATTCACGTAAAAAGTTGTGTGTTCTGGGGTGGTGACTGGGGCTGTGTGAAGGTGGGGGCAGTGTTTTTAGGACCTTTTGCCTCCCATATATATATGCTGAAATTAAATCTGAGGGCTGGGAAGAGACCGCCAGAACCAGCAGGTAGCGTCCCGCCTTCACAGACAACCATGTATCCAAAAGGAACCACAGGAACATCCAGTCGTGCAGGCCGGAGCCATAAAGCACAAGACAAAAAAAGCCCCTGAAGCATGATGCAGGAAGAAAGCAAGGGAGATGAGGGCTCCCCCAAGGTGGAATTAAGATATGCCCCTGTGATTCTAGGAAGTGGACTATGGCCCCCATTCCAGAGGAAGGCAAAACGGCCCAAGATTTTTGTTTCAGAAGTTCAATAAGAATACATTAATTTTTTCTAGTTAGTAAAATTACAATCGATATTGAAGATGCATAACTGTTGTGCATTTTTTGCCACTTATTTCCTGCCATTTTGTGAAGAAGACCTGCTAAAACCTAATGGGCCAGTTGCCTTTTAATTTCTCCGGGATATGCACGATTATTATTTTCATGCTAAAAAACTAACTGTGAAGCAAACATACGACAAGAGTGATCTGCTCTTCTGACCTAACATTAATACTAGCTTTCCTGCAGGTAAGTGCCTATACTGTTGCCTGGAACCCTGTTTGAGCCTTTTTGGTCATCCAGTAGTAGTGCAACCTGTGCAAAAATTAGGTTGAGAGAATATAAGGTAATAGTGAAGTTTGTAATCAGAGACTGCGAGACAAAGTGAGTGTTTTTGCAAGTTCTAGTATCACTTGAATGGTTTTTATAGTTTTCAATACGAATGCTAAGGATATTGTATCAAGTATTGGCTTCCCACTTTAATGTAAAATGAAGAATTGTCATGCAGTCCCTGAGTTGCCCAATGTTGGGAGATAATAGAGCACAGCTAAGGCAATGCCTTTATTGCCTTACAGTGAGGGAGCACCTCAGCTTACTTGCAGCTTATTGTTTCCCCTAACACATGTAATTAGTGCCAGTTTACAGAAGGAAGTGTTTTCAACAGAGTTTTTTCTGAAAGCACAGTAAGGTTTTTCCACATCCCAAATAGGGCCAAAACAAGAGAAATCTTGTTTAAGCAACGGATTAGGAAGAGCAAAACCTTGCATTTCAGGCAGGTGGGAAGCTTTTTACAGAAAAGTAACAAGAAATCATTGCAGTCCCCAAATATTTGGGGAAGGAAACAAAAATCCTGACTAGCAGTAGTTCATCCGTTTCAGAGGCAAATGTACAGCTACGTAAGGTATTAGAGAACAGTATAAAGAGATTAAAAGGTGTTTTGCAGGAACACTTGTCCCCAAAAGAAAAGAGTGAGCTGGGAGAGAGGGCATTAATGGAACAATAATGTAATGGAGAGTTTAATTATCAGGACATCTAGTTAGAGGACAAAATGAACTTTTTAAGCCAACACAAGTTCATTGTACAGCATACATACTATGCTTCTCCACAGTGCTTAGATAAGCAGGTTTTTATGGATATGGCAAAATATTGAAGGAAATTAGTCAGCTTTTTATATTTCCTGGTTGGAAAAATGGTCCCTTCCTTAAACTACATGTTATCATGTGAGAGAGAGAGTAACAAATAATCCAATGTGTCTTGGAAAGCAGAGGATAATGACATCAAAGAGCTGACATTAATTTTGTGAGGCTTTTCTTTCCTGTTTTTTAGGAACTTGTTCCCTGTGCAATTACATTTGTCTCCTATACGTCACTGGCATTGGGTTTTTTTCTCTTAGTCTGGTTAAACTCATGTTCCTTGATTTTAATGCTTACTAACCTAACCAAGTTTATTTTTTTAACAAATTATAAATTTAAATATAGAATTTTTGATCCTACTGCATTGTCAGTATACTCTGTAGGGAGACAATTTTGTAAGTCTCAGTGATGTTAATGGACATTCAGTGACTGAATTCCTCCTGGGCGAGGATGGAGAAAAAATTCTAAGTTGAATTTGGGAGCAGAGATAGCAAGTCAACTATTTGCTTGAATTTATGCAAACATTTTGTCTGTTGAGGTTAACACAATGGGCCAATTCTCATTTACATATAATATAATTCTGGTAGCAGGTAAAGCTGTTAAAGTGGCAATTTATTTCATCCTTTAGATCAGGGGTGTAAAATTCATTCAGCCCCTTGAGCTAGATGAGTGGTGCAGAGCTGGTCCATGGATGCCTTCTCCTTCCCTATCCCCTAACATACCTACCCACCTACATTTATTATATATAAAGTACTTATTATTATTATTTATTAATTGAAAAATACCATGGTGTATTAACTGGTCACTGAAAAAGTAGGGACCCATATGCATTCAGTTACACCCAGGGTATGCTTACATGAAGTCAGGGAGTCTAATGCATAGACATTTTGGTCATAGAGCATATAGTCTCTTAACCTTCATCCCCAACAATTTGAAAACAATTTGCAAACTATGGTCTTGATACTGCAGTTGGAGGCATATAGACAGATGTCTGTAGCTAGGAGACCCTCATTGACTTCTTTGGTACTCTTTATGTTATGGGATTGTGTGCCCACCTAGGTCAGATTGTACACGCTCTGGGCCCTGTTCTGTTCTCTTATTGTAAACTGCCCTGCGTGTGTGTTTGTTGGGAAGGCCAGAATATCATCTGAATAAACCAACTGCAAAATTAGGCCCTAATTTCCTGCATGAAAAGTGAGTACACATTTTAGAACCAGTACAAAACAAATAGACATTTTTATCAGTGACGTTCCTGGAAGATCAGCAAGATATGGTTAACTATTACCAACCTTTAGCATTGTGCATTTTCGCTGAAAAAAAATACAGCCGTCCAGTTCAGTAACTGTGGGTGATAAATGTCATTGGCCTTCAGAAGTTGGAGCTTTGTAAAGCTGCGCATTTCTTGTGCAACTTGACATATCCTGTGCTTGCCTGATCTCACTGAAAATGCTTTTGTTTGAATTACCCTCCCTAGAGACACATTTATGGTCCAGGGCCTGAAATACAGTAATCATATTTTAGGTTTATTAGAAAGGTCAATTTGGAATTAAATATGGAAAATAAAACTCTGGAGTCATCTGCTCTGTTATCTGTGGCTGAGTTTAACATTGTTCCTGACACATTTGTGTTCATAGGAAATTTAAATTGTCTGACTATGGATGTTTCTGAAATTGAGACCTCATGCTGATGATAACAGCATTTATTGCATTCAATAAAAACTCTCCATGTCAAATTATGAACAACTGGTTAAAGGTGACACTAGGTTGTGAAAATAACATGGTTTACAAAATTGGCCACTTGGGAGAAATACAGTTGCACAGAACTTCTCTCTATAGATGTTTTCAGTCGCTTTCATAAAGTTAGTATGTCTGTGCCAAGGTTAATTCAAAAGATCAACCTTTTCACTCCGAATGCCTGAAAAACAGCCATTCTTCTACATTTCTGTTTATAAGATGATGTGTTATATATGGGAACAACTAGATGCAAACACAGCTGCTGTGATAGTTGGCGTACCAGACATAGAACGTGAGAAATTGTAAAAGTCTGTGCGAGTTGCACTATATGCCATAGCAGAATACGTTGTGTGTTAGTTCCTTTGCATGAATATTAGTGAGAGGATTTGAAAAATTTTAAACACAAAGCCATAAAAGATGGATTTAATTCTTCCATGGTTGGATATATATTTATATATCTGTATGTGTGTGTATATATGTGTGTGTGTGTGTATATAATTATAATTAAAAATATATATATATAATTTTTATATAAATAAAATTTCTGTCTGATCTAACAAAGTTATTTTAGTTTATTAAAGAAAAAAAAAGAATAGAGACAGGCACTCAGACCACCGTTGAGATCTAATAGAGCTATTGATCACCAACATCTGACAGTGCCACCCTGACTGAGAAATTAGAA